TGAATTGTACAAACAATGATATATATTTACATTTTTTATTATTCTTCCAAACATTTAAAACCATATTATACCTATGAATTGAGGTTCTACAGACTTAGATACTGACCTACGTATCTGTAGTTGATGCGCCTCCCCGTGTCAGACTGGGAGGGACTCAGCTGTGGCCAATAGTAGAACAGTAGGTTAGCTGCGGGAGCCCGACCTGCTGGAGGGCCGTAAGCGATGATGCTGAGGATGTCCTGTACAAACACACGGTTATTTACTGTATACCACAGGTATCTATGATTGACTAGGATTAGATCATGAAATAGCAAAACCTAGGATATTTAACCTCAATCCTCAATGTGTCTGGTTTTTGTTGAAGGGTGACATTTGAAATATCCACCCATAAATCATAAAACCCAGTTTTAAAACAAAATCAGCTCTTAAATTTCATTGAGGGGGAAAAAAGTCTTCCAGTCAATTAAAATGGAAATACCTGAGATTTTATGTTATAACTGTTTTCATAAAAAAATATATCTTTCCTTAAAGCAATAAAAAAAAACAGATATAAAAGTGTTTATTAATGAGATTTCTATAAAAAGTTAAAAAAAATAAAATTATATGAAGGCTGATTAAGAGTTGTAACAATGATAACTGTTTGCCATACTGGATATAACACTCACTTTGATGAGGTCACGTTTGATGCTCATGAAACACTCCATGATCTGAGAGTGGAAGGCTACAACAACAAACATTTAGTATGTACAGGGGAGATATAGCAAATCTAATATTACAGGTGTTGTGGGAGAATGTAAACTGTTAACATAATTATTGGAACTTTATCTGTGTTACTTACATTCATTATCTGTGTGCTGTGTTACTTACATTCATTATCTGTGTGCTGTGTTACTAACACCCTTTATCTGTGTGCTGTGTTACTTACACTCATTATCTGTGTGCTGTGTTACTTACACCCATTATCTGTATGCTGTGTTACTAACACCCTTTATCTGTGTGCTGTGTTACTTACACCCGTTATCTGTGTGCTGTGTTACTTACATTCATTATCTGTGTGCTGTGTTACTCTTACCCCCATTATCTGTGTGCTGTGTTACTTACACCCATTATCTGTATGCTGTGTTACTTACATTCATTATCTGTGTGCTGTGTTACTTACACTCATTATCTGTGTGCTGGGTTACTAACACCCGTTATCTGTGTGCTGTGTTACTTACACCCGTTATCTGTATGCTGTGTTACTTACACCCGTTATCTGTGTGCTGTGTTACTTACACACGTTATCTGTATGCTGTGTTACTTACACCCGTTATCTGTGTGCTTTGTTACTTACACCCGTTATCTGTGTGCTGTGTTACTTACACCCATTATCTATGTGCTGTGTTACATACACCCATTATCTGTGTGCTGTGTTACTTACACCCGTTATCTGTATGCTGCAGTACCATCGTGATGATAGCAGCAGCTGACTCGCTGGCATAGGACGGCTCAAGGCAGCCATCAAACCCTACAGTTCATAAGATATCAAAGATAAACATATTCTAAAACAATTATCTGATGTCATGTTACTAGCAACTTAAACATCATACATAGCTATATAGAGTATTGCCTTTATATATATAAGAAGAAAAATTATTATAAAAGTGTCGACATTGACGTTTGTCTAATTTTCAAGAAACAATAAACTTTCAAGAAACAAACATTGAAATATACATTATACTATGTGCAAGACAGAGAACAACCATCATATAATTACTACTTAATTCTAATGCTAAAGTTACAGTAAAAAGAAAAGCCGAAACATGTCAACACAATGCCTGAATGAATCATCTATTCTGCCATGTTGTCCAAGTTCCGTAGAATTTATGTATGAGCTGTTAGTGGGGACTCCGTATACTTCATGTATCAACGGCGGTTACTAATCTGAATTGCACCAGATTATTTCAATGTGTAGGGGACGTTGTGTCTCTGACTCCCTCAAGGAATGTAGAAGAGTAAGGTTTACATATTTAAAACATGTTCTTCAGGTACCCCAAATAACTACCAGTCACATGATAAGTATACAATACCTAGTGTCATTGGCAGCATGTTGCTACAGAGCAAGTCTATGGTATCTTTGTGGAGGGTTGGAGGGAAGATAGCCAGTGTGGAGGCCACAGTGTAGGGGAGGGAGTCCAGCAGGTCGTGTTCCAGGAACGGCACCAGACAGCCCAATACCTTCAGTACATTCTCCCCTATCTCTACAATAGTCACACAATAGAACAGGTACATATATCTCTAATTCATTCAAACAAAAGTAAATTATCATTTATCTAGTATATACGTCCAGGTTTTTTGTCAATTTTTAATTGTAATTTCTCTTGCAGATGTATACATGAATTACGGAAAGTTTTAAGTTCATTTGTTGAGAAAAAAACACTATTCTTTTAAAGAGAATTTTGGCTTGAATGACAATTTTTCTATCACTATTTATAAGGCTTTTACCTTAAAACAACAAGAAAATTTGCTAAGATCGTGATCGTGAAGACTTACCTAGCTGCTTGACCTGCATCGTTGGTACAATATCAATCATGTCGAGGACTGCGTAGTAGAGCTCTGTATACTTAAGGTTAGGAAACACAGACAGCCTGACACTGTCTCTCTGTCGTGGGCCATAACTCTCGGCCGGGATGTTGGGCACATCCTTCAGTACACTGCATTATACAATCATGGAAAATGTCTCTATTGATAAAAGATAAAGTTACTTAACTCAATTGTTATGTTTATTACATAAAATTTGATTAATATTTATTTTTTATTTTTTTAACTCAGTGGAAAACTACTCATATTTTTAGGTTCATATAACCTTTCCACCAATTACCCAGGAAGTTTTGTATGTTTTGGACCATTGAGACTAGGACTCACTGCTTTAGAAAAGAGTGAGTCCCACACAACACGCTTGCTACCAGTGACTCGATCTTTGGCAGGCTCCATTATAGTGACCCTTATTATAAGGTTCATTGGTGATGTTTCATGAGCAGGTAGTTCATTAGTGTAACGACATTAGAATTAAATGGTGATTGCTGAGTTAAATAAGTGATTAATGAGTTCATTGGTAAATAAGTGATTAATGAGTTCATTGGTAAATAAGGGATTGATGAGTTCATTGGATCTTGTGATGAACCTAGCTATCTGTGGGGTGACTAATAAATCTTACCAATCAATATTTATATATATAGATATTTACCTGTGTATTTGTGTCAGAAGGGTCACCAAAGAATCATGCATTGTGGAACTCTACCAATGGACCATCAAACCCTTCTCCACCTCAGTGGAACTCTACCAATGGACCATCAAACCCTTCTCGACCTCAGTGAAGTATGTTAACTTAGTGACTGAAGTTCTTATAATTGTGTTGTTTACCTGAGAAGTGACTGAGAGAAGTACTTGAGTGTATTCTCTATTTCTATCCCCGTGGGCTGCGGTGTGGTGTTGTTGATGATCCGGTACCTGTAATCCTTCAGGTTATGAATCTTCGACGCAACTTTAAAAAAAAATATATATATTTAATTTTTAAGTATACATTGTTTATATATATACCAATCTAGGTTAATTTGTCTTTTAACACAAAACAATATTAGAATATTTTGTAGATTGTAATAGATGGACCGTGCACTGTTTTTTTTTGTTATTGTTTTTCGGGTTTTTTTCTAAATAAAAACAATGCATGAGTAAATCATACAAAATCATCTGTTAGTCCATGCCAATGTGTTTTTTTCAAACTAATGTTATAATAATCATGGCAGTTTGTTCACTTTATTTGCATGATTGTGATAAAAGAAAAAAATGTGTGTACTTTTGTTCATAATTAAACCACTTTGCAGTTTTATTCAGATATATTCTGTATAACCCCCAAAAAATGCTGGTTATTCCTTATTATTGTATTTAAGAAACATACAACACTTTTAAGAGCATTTAGGATAATGAATATTTATTTATTTCTGATAAAAAAAAAAAAAC